CTAGCATACGTATATAAATATCTGTCAAAAGCCAAACTGACCTACTTGCTCTCCCCGAGCATCACCCCCTCCATACCAGTACCTCCGTCCTGATGCCTCATGCAGGGCCAAGTGTACAGCAGGCCTGCAAAACACTCATGGCTATGTGAGCCGGCAAATGCCAGTTGGCAGGTTTGGAAGGTTGAGAGAAAATTCTCAGCCTAGAGGAGGTTTTCTGCCGACCTGCCCCATCACAGGGAACCCTCACAGCTGGTAAAGCTATATCTTTGCAGTCACAAGAGGGTCCCCTAGTGTGAACTACAACCCAGGATCACAGTCCACGATTCAGTCAAGGCCTTTCAAGATCTCTGTGAGAGTTCAGACCAAAGCTCACTTGACTAGACAGACAGGAGGAGGAGGCCAGGCACAAGGCTTGGGTTTGCCATGTGGACTTGAGGTCCTGAGGGAACCCAGAAACAAACAAGGGAGGGGAAAGAGGAGTGAGCATTGGCCAAGGAATCAGAAAGACTGAACTCCAATCCCGACCCCAGCTGTCACAGAACCTTGGACAAGACACTTCCCCTCTCTGGGCCTCAGTTCCCTCAACTACAGAAAGACTTTTAAGAGTGGGTACACTTTCCCATCAACTCTGCAGGAGAACGTAGGGAAGAAAAGACTTGACAGCAAATAATAATTAATAGTACAATACTAACAGCTAGTATTTATTAAGGCATTACCCTGTGCCAGGCACTGTGTTCTAAATTGTTTATAAGGCATCATCATTATCTCATTTCAGCTCCACCTCCCACCAGGCTATGCAGAGGGCAGTGGCAAGTTAAGCAGATGGTTAAGAGTCTGGACTCCATGGGTGGCGCCTGTGGCTCAAAGGAGTTAGGCACCAGCCCCATATACCGGAGATGGTGGGTTCAAACCCAGCCCCGGCCAAAAACTGCAAAAACAAACAAACAAACAAACAAACAAACAACAAAAAAAAGGACTCCAGATCTTGGTAGAGGTACTTACTGGGTCTGAGCCTCAGTTTCCCCGTCTGTAAAGTGGGAATAATAACAGTACCTGTAGCATATGTAAGCACTGCGTTAGGCATTGTTATTCCTATTATTCTCCGCTTTACAGAGGAGGAAAAACAAGGCCCTGAGTGGCAAAGTCACTTGCTCAAGACCTCTGGGGAGTCGCAGGTGTGGGTGGGGGCTATGCAAATCAGCTAGGCATCAGCCCTGTGGATCCCAGGCACTTTTGAAGGGTGGCAGCAGCAGACCAGCTGGTGCTCAACTCCAGGCTGAACAAATATCACATTCCCAACCCTCCAAGGCCAGAAGGAGTCCCAGGGCTCAGGGTGTCCTGTTTCTTTGTGCAGCTAATGTGCTGAGTGCTGCAAGCCCATGGGGAGAGAGGGACTGGTGGGGGCTGGCAGCAAGGTGAAAAAATACAATCCCAAGGCAGAAGGGCCCAGGCCCAAGGCTGAGAATGAGACTGGCCCGGATTCTATTCCAACTCCCCCAGTTGTTAGCCGTGTGGCCTTGGGCAAGTGGCTGACTCCCTTGTGTCTCACTTTCCTCCTCTGCAAAACGGAATTATGCTTTCGGATATGGGGCTGAAGTGGGGATTGAGAAGACCTAAGATACTCAAAAAATAAAGATAAACCTGAACCTAAATTGGAAACCAACAGCATAAAGTCTCTAATCAAAGCAATGAGGGAATAATAGCAGATAACTTTTGTTTTAAGAGACAGTGTCACCTAGGAAAGAGCAGTGGCACAACCATAGCTCACTGCGGCCTTGCACTCCTAGGCTCAAGTGATCTTCCCACCTCAACCTCCCAAAGTGCTAAGATTACAGGCGTAAGCCTACAGGTGTGAGCCGGGCAGACAACATTTCTCAGCGAAACCCCTCAACCCCCTCATGAGGTGCAGGAGCCAGGACTGACCACCTTCCAAAGAAGCAGGGGCAGCCAGCCTTCAACTGGCAGGTCACCCTGGCTATGTCAGCTCCTCTTCCTGGGCCTCAGTTTCCTCTTTGATAAAGACGGAGTTGAACAAGTGGGAAAAAAGTGCGGGGAGAGAAAGAGGGAGAGATGGGAGGAGGAGGAAGGAAAGGAAAGGGGAAGGGGAGAAAGAAGAAAAAGCTACCACTGCAGCATAAGCATTAATTGAGAATTTACTAGGTGCTGGGTGATCTCATTTGCTGCCCATGAAAATATTCTTTAAGTCAGATAGGACCATCATCATCTCACAGAGGAAAAAACTGAGCTCAGTGAGATTCATCAAGTCATGTGCCCAAGGTCACATGGTGGCACAACTGGAAATTGAACTCACTTCTTTTGGCCTCTAGAGCTCAGGGCTAAGGTCGCTCCCTGTTGAGCTGTTGGAGCCACTACAGTAGTTCTCAACCTGTGGGTCGCAACCCCTTTGGGCATCCAACGACCCTGTCACAGGGGTCGCCTAAAACCATAACATACACCTTGTACAGATATAGGGGTATGAAAATAATTTTATGGTTGGGGGTGACCACAACCTGAGGAACTGTATTAAAGGGTCACAGTATTAGGCTGAGAACCAACCACTGCACTAGGAAGACATCTGCACACCACCCTCCTCCTTGTGGTCACCCCCCTGAATTGCAGGCATGAGTCCTAACAGCAGGGAAATGAGGTCTGAGGCACCAGGCTTATCAGGTTCCTGCTATGTCCCCCACCTCAGGAGGTTGGGGTCAGGGAGAGGAAACCAAGCAGGCAGCAGTAAGGCTGGGGCCTCATAGGCCAGCAGGAGACAGCCACGGCAAGCCATCCAGGACTGCAAGGACAAAGGCTCCTTAATGACAGAGAAAGAAAGAGGAGGAGCTGGGCAGCCAGGGAGGACGCCAGCAAGCAGAGACAGGTTTTAAATGCTCTCCTCCCCATCACCTTTGTCTCCACACACAGACACACACATGCAAAAGTTCAAGGACAATCAGATAAGCTGAGTTGGTACCACCTGAGAGGGAAGGGAGAAAAACAAAGAAAAAATCAGTAGAAGGGAACCTTTAGCAAAAAAGACCTGACAGGTTTCAAATGTGTATTAAGTCTATGGCTGGAAACAGACCCTTGAGGAAATGTCTCAGACTGCACAGCAAACATCTCACTTAGGTCTAAAGTCTAAGTTCCTCCCTGCCCTGTCACCCTACCACCATGGTCAAGCTCTGTTGTGGCCATTCTACAGCAATCCTAGCACAAACCCTGCCAAGGCCATCTTCTTCTTCTTCTTTTTTTTTTTTTTTTTTTTTTTTGCAGTTTTTGGC